TTTTTGCGGTAGTGGGGATTGAACCCAGGGCCTTCACCCTGAGCTCCATCCCCATCCCTAGCCCTATTTATTTATTTTTTTTTAGTCGTTTTGAGGCAGGGTCTCGCTATGCAGTTCAGGCTGGCCTTGAGCTCACTTTGTAGCTCAGGCTGGTCTCAAACTCGCGACAATCCTCCTGCCCCAGCCTCTCCCAAGTACTGGGATTACAGGCTTGTACCACCATGCCCGGCTCTTTATTTTTTATTTTGAGACGTGGTCTCCCTGAGGTGCCAAGTTGCCCAGGCTGGGCTTGAATCTGAGATCCTCCTGCCTCAGCCTCCCAGAGTGCACAAGCATGGGTCACCACACTCTGCCATCAGCCCAGAGGCAGGGTCATCTTGCCCCTGGGAATCCTTTGTCCCTTAAACTGCTAATAGAGTAGCAGGTGGCCCTGGAGACATCAGAGCAGTTAACTTTAGAGGTCCCACCGCAGAGACAGGGGACTCAGGGCCAGTGCTGGCTTCCCTCAGGCCTTGGAACAACTCACACAGCTCTGCCTCCTCTCCTACCTTGCCTTCTGTCTGCTTTCTCTGCTTCAGCCTTAGCCCCTGCCGTGCCTAGAGACCCACACATTCCTCAGCACTGAGTCATGAAATTCCTGCCGCCCCCACGCTGGGAATTAGACCTGGGGCCCGCTGCCTCTGCTGACTCGGAGAGCCCACTTCTGCAAAGGCAGCTGGAGGCAGGGTCCCTGCCTAGGCCCATGTGGGAAGCCCCCTCCTCTGCCTGACCCCAGGTGTGGAGGCGGCAGATGACAGTGTTCCAGGGTGCCACAGTTCCTGTCTTGTACAATGTTCTTGTGACTCTGCTCCCACAGGGACGAGGATCTGGGAGGCTTTTGGTGGAGAGCCCGCATATCACAGGCACTTACTTCCCTTCTCAGGAAGCACCCCCCAGCCCCCCAACACTCGGGTTCCTCAGGCACAGGGACAGTGCTGAGTGATAAGACAGCACGGCCAGAGACAGCCACTTCCAATTTTGTGTTTTGGGTTGGATTTTTGGATTTTATGTTATTTTATTTTAGAACCAGTCTTGATACATAGCTCAAGCTAGCTTGGAACTTGTGGGGATCCTCCTGCCTCAGCCTCTGGCATGCTAGGGTCACAGGTGTGCGCCCCCACATGCCTAGCATTTTTTTGTTTACTGTCACCTTGCCAGAAAACATGCCTGAAATGGTTGTTTATTTCAGGGCTTCCAGAAAAACATCTCAGGGTGACGCCCTCCAAGAGCACCCCTGGAAGGAGAAGCTTCACCCACCAGTGTTGATTTTCACAAGGGCAGAGCAGTGGCCTGGGAGCTGCAGCTGTGCGGGGCTGTCAGAGGAGCTGCTCCCTGCCAGAGACCACTCCCCCTTTCTCAGCCTCTCACCGGTGAAGCCCATTCCCAAAGGGGGAAGCACAGGGTGCTTGTAGAAGCCTGAGTTCCCGCTGGTCCCAGAGCAACCCGCTGTGTCCTGTGCCCCCTTCTTCTCCCTCTTCTTCTTTTTCTTCTTCCTCCCCCTCCTCCTCCTCTCTTCCTTTTTTTTTTTTTTTTTTTTTTTTTTTTTTTTTGTGCTGGGAAAGGAACCCAGGGCTTCTCCCTGAGCTACATCCCACTTGTTTTTATATTTTTTATTTTGAGATAGGATCTCAATAAATTGCCCAGACTGGGTTCCAACTTCCAATCCTCCTGCATCAGCCTCCCAACTACTTGGGATTGTAGGCATGTGCCAACATGCTTGGCTTGATTTCTTCTTTTCATTATTTGTTTTTTGTTTGACAGGATCTCGCTATGTAGTTTAGGCTGTGCTCAAACTCACAGTAATTCTCCCACCTCAGTCTCTCCAGCGCTGAGAGAACATTTGCGCCACCACGCCCGGCCCAACTGATCTTTTTTTTTCTTTTGAAGATCAATTTATAGCCAGGGGTGATGGTTACACCTGCCATCTAAGCTACTCTAGAGCAGGAGGATCGAAAGAGCCCAGCCTGTGCAACTCAGTGAATTAGTGAGACCCTGGCTGAAAACAAAAGTCAAAAGCCAGCCATGATGGTGCACACCTGTAATTCCAATACTTGGGAGGCTGAGACAGGAGGATCTCTACAAGTTTGAGGTCAGCCTGGGTTACAAAGTAAATTTAAGGCCAGACTGAACTGTGCAGTGAAACTCTGTCTCAAAAAGACAATAAATAAATAAAAAATATAAAAAGCAATAATTAGTGTAACCAAAAGTTTAACAACACAAAACACAAGAAATTAAACACAAGCTAGAACCTTTGGCCCAGCGTGGTAGGGCACGCCTATAATCCCAGCATTCAGGAGGCTGGGGCAGGAGGATCGGTGCAAGTTTGAGACCAGCCTGGGCTACAAAGTGAGCTCAAGTCCAGCCTGAACTGCATAGTGAGACCTTGTGTCAAAAAAAAAGGGGAAGGGGCTGGGAGTATAGCTCAGGGCAAAGACACTGGGTTCACTGGGGGAAAAAAGTCTTGTTCAAAGTCCCAGTTCTTACTTTTGTAATATAATGTTCAGACTGCTACAGGACGCCCAGGGCTCCCAGCCTGCTTGGAACAGTGACGCTTTGTGTAGGGTGTTCAGGCGCATGGTGCCAGGCACAGGGAAGCACGGCCAGGCCCAAGCCAGGGTGCTCAAGCCCGGAGGCTTGGAATTCACAGTGACCCTCCTGTCTGGGCTCCCAAGTCCTGGGAGTAGAGGCGTGTCCCGTCACGCCCAACTGTTGGTGTTTATGAATAAAGTTTGGTTATGGGGGCAAAACCTTTCTCTCTTTTTTTTTTTTTTTTTCTTTTTTGAGACAAAGTCTTACTGTATAACCCAGGCTGGCCTCAAATTCAGGTGATCTTCCTGCCCCAGCCTCCAGAGTGCTAGAATGACGGGTATGTACCACCACACATGACAAAAAACAGTGTGACATTAAGATAAAATGTAGTGCACATAAATTCATCCTCTTGACTTTTTGATTTGTTGTTGTTGTTGTTGTTGTTTTTGTTTTTTTTCTGGTACGGGGAATCGAACTCACAACCTTGCACTTGCTAGGCAGGCGCTGTGCCGCTGAGCTAAATCCCCAGTCCCTCTTGACTTTTTGAAAGGTGCATTGTGGCATTGTTAGTGTATTCACAGTGTTGCACAACAATCACCTCTAATTGTGAATTTCCCAGCAGCCCACAAAGAAGGTCTAGGCCTCCACACAGTGGTCATCCCTCCCCTCCCCAGCCTCAGTCCCCACAAGTCAGCTTCCTATCTCTGGATTCACCTGTCCTGGGCATTTCCTATCTGTGGAGTCCTTTGGTGTGTGACCTCTGTGGTTTCTCTCACCGAACGTGTTGTCCTCAAGGTCCATCCACACTGTGGTGAGCCTTGCTCCTTTTCTTGGCTGAGTAATATTCCACCGTGGGTGTTGGAGACCACTACAAAGTGGCTCTGCGCAGGATTTAATATTAACCAATTGGCTTTCCATGTTCACTTGCGAATCTGTCCAAGGCCTAGGCTCCTTATCTGGAAATGACACACCCCTAGTAAGTGAACCTCTGTGAGTCACTAATCCCTACTAGAACCTGTAATGGTGGATGAAGCCAGAAAGCCTCAAAGGACAAGACAAGGTCACAGCCAAGGACCCTGGGTCAGATCTCAACCAGATGAAGACTATAGCCTCAGGCATCGCATTCTTCAGTGGATTAACTTCATACTTTACTGAGAGAAGTCCTCCAGTGGTTCTGCCCCTCTTGAGTACTCCCCTCCCTTCTTCTGATAACCAGATAAATATGGGTGACCCAGAGAAGATCGCGGTCCTAGCCCTGAGAGAATTATGAATTCTGTGAGAGGGCTTTGATCCTCCTGGGGCCCTGAAATCATTCCATTTATCTCCTTCTATTGAGCCTTTGCTGTACACTCATTCAAGAGACTGCGGACCTGATCAGCCTGCAATAACTAAGGGACGTTATTATCCCCATACATGGGGATGGGCCTCACTGTGTATGCCCACTCATTGCTTGATAGACAGTGTAGTTTTCACCCTTTCACTCTGCAGCCATGTATGAATTTTTGTGTGACCCTATGTCTTCATTTACCTGCGGTGGAACTGCTGGGTCTTAGGCAAACCCTGTTTGCAGAGTTGCCAGAATGCCTTTGGTTGTGACTTGTATCTAGTTGTCGCCCCCCGTGCCCACCCCTACAAGCTTAATGCAGTCTTGGGTGAGACATTTTGGAGTGCCCAGATCTAGGTTATGTGTTACTGGGATCAAATGTGTCATGCTGGGAGTAAGGGTGTGGGTACGGGCAGCCCCAATCCAGAGGTGTGTGGCCTGGAAGGGGTAAAAAGGGAGCAGGTTTGCTGCTGCTTTTGCCTGCCTGGCTTGCTGTGAGCTCTTTCTCCTCTGATGCCGCCTGTGGTGCCCTCCTGCCTTGGAGCCAGCTGACTGGAGACTGAAACCTCCTCGAAGTATGAGTGGAAATAAACCTTTCCTCCTTTAACTTTTTTTTTTTGTTGTTTGTTTGTTTGGTTGGTTTTTTTTGGTCTTTTTGAGACAAGGTCTCACTATGCGGTTCAGGCTGGTCTTGAACTCACTTTGTAGCGCTGGCTGGCCTCGAACTCACAATGATCTTCCTACCTCAGCCTCCTGAGTGCTAGGATTACAGGCGTGTGCCACCACACCCAGCTCACCTCCTTTAACTTTGGGGTGTTGGATATTTTGTCTCAACAAGAAAAGCCCCTTCAAGCCGGGCATGGTGGCTTCTCCTGTAAGGGGCTGGGTCAAGGACTCTTCAAGGTGATCGATACCTATTTAGAATATCAGTCCCTCATGTCCATCCCTAGGGAGGTATGTGGGAGCATTTGTTTAGTCCTTTGTCTTGAGGTCTGGCCCACAACAAATACGTATCTTTCATGTTGGCTCCTTCTAGGGCCTGACCCTGTCTGACTGCCTATAATATTTCTACCTAACTCAGCTGCCTACAACAATGTCACATGGGAGGCTGAGGCAGGAGGACTGCCGGAAGTTCAAGGCCAGCGTGAGCTATTATATAGTGAGACCCTACCTCAAAACACCAAAACCAATATTCCAACTTTTTAAATTTACCAATATATTTTTGCACTACTGGGGATTGAATTTAGAGCCATAACACTGAACTATATCCCCAGCTGGTTTGTTTTTTTTTACTTTTTGAGACAGGGTCTAGCTCTGCAGTTCAGGCTAGTGTTGAGTTCACTTTGTAGCCCAGGCTGGCCTCGAACTCACAACGATCCTCCTGCCTCAGCCTCCCGATTGCTGGGATTACAGGCATGCGCCACCACACCCAGCTGTTTTTTTTTTTTTTAAACAATGTCGAATGTTTATTTGAGCCAAGGGTGGTGATGCTCGCCTGTAATCATAGCACTCCGAAGGCTGAGGCAGGAGGATCGTTGCGTGTTCGAGACCAGCCTGGGCTAAAAAGTGAGCTCAAGGCCAGTTCGAACTGTATAGCAAGACCCTGTCTGAAAAGGACACACACAAAAAGTGTTTACTTGAAAAGTGTGGGGTAGGGGCTGGGGATTTAGCTCAGCCGCACAGCGCCTGTCTGGCAAATGCGAGATCGTGAGTTGGATTCCCGGTACCGGAAAAAAAAAAAAAAAAATGAGAAGTGCGGAGTAAATGGGTATGGGAAAAGCCAGCTCTGCAGAGCAAACTTGGGCCCAACAAGGAGAAAAGCAAAAATGAAAATACACACCATATCTGAGAAACATGGTGCAGGCTACCCTACAAACTCATCTGCCATGCCCTACACCCCCTGGTGATGGTTGTTTTGGATACAGGGTCTTGCTAAGTCACTAAATTGCCCAGGCCAGGTGCTAGTTTGAGATCTTCCTGCCTCAGCCACCCGGAGTGCTGCCATAACAGGCGTGGGCTATCACACACAGCGCACATTTATTACAACAGCACACAAAAGTGAAAACCCAGGCTGGGGTGGAACTTGGACATAGCGCAGAGCCCAGAGAAAAACCGGCTTATAGTCTGATGCGAAAGTACCCATGGAGAGCCTGCGAGGCTCCTGATCATCCATAGAAGCCAAACTGACCCTTCACCCTGCCGGGGCCTCAGTTTCTCAGCTATTTCTCCTGAAATTTTTGTGTTTTGTTTTTAGGTTAGTTTTGCTTTGCTATGTTTTGTTATGTTTTGTTTTGTTTTTGAGACAGGGTCTCACTGTTCGAGACCAGGCTGGTCTCGAACTCGCGGCGACCCTCCTGCCTCAGCCTCCGAATACTGAGAAAACAGACGTCTGTCTCTACTCTTGGCCTCATGGGGTTTTTAAGTGCCACAAACAAGCGAGAGCTGAACGGTAACTACTAATCCCGAGAGGCCTTGTGGTCAAAATCTCAAAGCAACGCGATAACTGCGAAATCACGCGGTATCGCGTGACAAACCGCCGCTCTCGTGAAAACTCGCGCAGCTTTATTCAGGAGTTTGCCGAGAACAGCCCTGCGCGGGGCGGGGTAAAGGGGGTGGGTCCTGATTGCATTTGACGCAGGCGCAGTGCGCACGGGTCCTGAGTGGCGCGTGCGTGGTGTTGTTCGAGCTCCGGCGCCATGGACGACGAGGAGGAGACTTACCGCCTCTGGAAAATCCGCAAGACCATCATGCAGGTAAGTAGCGCGTAGTGACTGTAAGTCGGCCGTGATGTGGGGTGCGTACGGTGTGTACTGAGACCCATGCAGCCTCCCCAGATCTTCCGGTCCCCGGCGTCGGTCACCCCTGTGTTGTGACCGAGCGGTCCGCGGCCAGGCCAGACCCAGGGTCCCCGCGGTGCGCGCGATGTGGGCGGGAGGGTTGCGCCGCTCCGTCCGCGTTAGCCCAGTTTTGTTTTTGTTGTTGTCTTTTTGAGGCAGGGTCTCGCTATGCAGTTCAGGCTGGTCTTGAGCTCATTTTGTGGCCCAGGCTGGTCTCGAACTCGCAGCGATCCTCCTGCCTCAGCCTCCCTAGCGCTGGGATTACAGGCGTGCGCCCTCACGCCCATCGCCCGTTAGCCCAGCTTTGTCCCTCGCCGCCCCTGCGTCTCTCTCCCGGGCTTCCGCATAGTCTGTCTTGGTCCGCACCGTTTCCCCACCTCTCTGCCGGCCCAGATTCCGCCCTTCGTCCCTCGAGACCCTCCTCGGAGTGGAGGTTGCGCCCCGAAAAGAAAGACGGGACAAATGGGACGAGAGCGGGCGCATCCTTAAGAGAGCCCCTTGGCGACCACTGTCCCGCTGCTCGTCTTGTTCCTTTTTGAATCTGAGAGGGAAGGGTGGCGTTTCAGAGGGAGTGGCCAAAGTGGGGTTGAGATGGTTCCCCGGGGTCTGGGGTCGGCTGGGTTGATGGTGCGGAAACCAGGCCAAGACTGAGGGCCAGGCGTCCTGAGCCTTGGCTCGGAAAGTGGGGTTCCACCCCGGGTGTGGTGGAGCACACCTGTCAACCTGGCACTCAGGAAGCAGCAGCGGGAGGTTTGCCGTGTGTTCGAGGCCAACCTGGGCTGCATACTGATTTCAAGGCTGGGCTGAACTACATAGCAAGAACCTGTCTCAAAAAAGAAAAGAAAAGGGCAAAAGAAATCAGGGCTTTTAGACTTCTGGTGGCGCTTAATGTTGAGTGCTTGTCTAGCATGCGTGAGACTCTAGGTTCTAACCCCAGCACTGAAAAAAAACGAAAGAAAGAAACAGGCTAGGTGTAGTAGCACACATCTGTAATCTCAGCATTATGGGAGCCCTAGGCTCGAGGATTTCAGGCTTGAACCTAGCCTCAGCAAGTTAACAAGACTACCTCAACATAAAAAAAGAAAGTCCAAAAAGAGACCCTGTGGAGGAAGAAGAGGTCAGAGCCTTGTCTTTCTTTATTTCTTTCTGTTTGTTTGTTTGTTTGTTTGTTTTGAGATAGGCTCTCCCTCCCAGTTCAGGCTGGCCTTGAGCTCACTTTGTAGCCCAGGCTGGTCTGGAACTCACAAGGATCCTCCTGCCTCAGCCTCCCGAATGCTGGGATTACAGGCATGGGCCACCACGCCCGGCTTCAGAGCCTTTTCTTAACCTTCCTGGCCCTTCCCTGGGTGAAGCCCCCTATAGGCTGATTCTCTGTCCCCAGCACCATCAGGAGAAGGTCGCCTGTTTTTGTCCCCATCTTTGACGCAGGTCTGCCAAGGTGTTGAAGGACTGGCCCTGGCTGTGTGGGCTTAGCCCCAGCCAGATCCCTGTGAGGCTAGCTGATCTTGGTGGAGGCTGAATTCCACATGAGCCTCTGGCACTATATTGGTTTTATCCTATGGGATGGCTGTGGGGACAGTAGGGTGACAATGGGTCAGTCATGTGGCACATAATATATTCCTTTTTTTTTTTTTTTTGGAGACACGGTCTCCCTATGTAATTCAGGCTGGTCTGGAACTCACAGTGATCCTCCTGCCTCAGGCCCCCGACTGCTGAGATTACAGAAGTGCACCACCACACCGGGCCTGTGTGTTTACTTTTTTTTCTTGATGTTATTTTTGTTGTTGTTGTTGTTTTGTTTTTGTTATGGTACCGAGGATCGAACTCAGGACCTTGCGCTTGCCAGGCAGGCACTGTACCACTGAGCTATATCTCCGGCCTCTTTTTTTTTTTGTATTTTAAAGGGAAAAAAAAAGAGGATGGGGATTTAGCTCAGTGGCACAGCGCCTGCCTGGCAAGCGCAAGGTCCTGAGTTCTATACCCGCTACTGGAAAAAAACAAAATCCAAACCCAAAAAAAAAAAAGAAAAGAAATAAAAAACCAAAATAACAACAAAGACGAAAACAAAACAATAAAAAACAGCAATTTCAAAACAAGATGATAGGAATTAATGGTGGTTGTTATATTACATATTGTTATTTTCAACAAAGTTGCTCC